TATTGTTGGGAAAGTAGGTACGTTATTCAATTAACAATAGAAGCACTAAATTACTAGATGTATTGAGAATTCTTTTACAGAGTGTGTTACCGTTTTGTAACAATTATGAGAACTAGGAAATAATTATTCCAAACGGAAGAAAATAGAACTTGATTACTTGCCTCTGTTAAAATCATAAAATTGACTGAGACTAAATAAGTAATCAAATGGTAGAAAATGGCAAAAATAATTTTCTGCAAGAATCTAAAATAATTACAACACTCGAAAAATTAACCAAATTAAATTGTAAGCAAATCAACAAGATTAACGATAGCGCCAAAAATTGTGTAACAACATACAAAATAATTAGCATAAAGTGAAATACGGACCTCCATGGAGAACAAGAGACAAATAGTGTTTAGAATGTTGTTGCCGCGGAGAGATTATATAAATAATTATTTGCATTTACACCAGATGGAAGATAAGTTTGCATTATAACTTCTATAAACTGGTACAGTTTGTTGAAAGTAGGTAATTGGTATAATAATAATTTTAATATTTTTTTTTTAGATTGTGTATTTCGAATAAGGTAATTGGCCGCTTTCATATTGTATTGTAATCTGAGTGACGTTTATGCAGGTTATTTTTTTTAGAGATGTTGGTGATCTGCATACAGCTAGTATGCAGATGATCAACATCTATAAATGAAAAACGGACTGAGAAACTGAAAGGAAAATCGACAGGAACTACGAAAGGAACATATAATAGAATAAAGTAGGTATATGAGAGAACATGATGATGATGAGAACAATTTAGCTAATAGGAAAATAATAGATAGATAAACAGATCAAAAGACAGCAAAAATTGGAAACGAAAAAAATATAAGAATACCCATAAAGAAGGGGCAAGGGCAATCAGATATATTTTTTAGCCTTATTTTATTCTAAAAAATTGAAATTGTAGCAATAGCAATACTGTACATACTTCAATTAGATAGTACGGAGTTATGGTTTGTTCAAGTTGAAGCAACTTTCTCAAACTATGGTATCACCGACTCGAAGATCAGATATAATCACATTATGTTTGCTTTGCCCCCTGAAAGTGCTAGTTGTCTGAGAGATATTTTGGTAGATAACACATTCTCGAACTCCTATGAAAATCTTAAAAATAAAATCATCAAGAGAACGACTCTATCTGACTCGGAGCGGGGAAGAACGACCTTCCACGATGCTCATTCAGATACAATAACTTACAGACAAATTTCCTGCCATAGATTAAACCTTCCCAAAGGAAGTATTACTCCATCATCTTCCGCCAAATATCGAGATTGGGTTACTTGGTCTTAGGGACAGTTTAGAAATCAGAAAACCAGCAAAAATGGCTGACCATATTTCTAAATATTTTGATCAGCAATCTTCCATGTGTGCAAATGGAATTCCTAAATCCTTGGGATTCAATGAAAAATTTGACAAACTATCAAACAAAGTTGCCGAGTTGAAGAAACTTGTTGAATCATCAATCCAAAAGATCAGGTAATTCAACGAGTCCATCAGAGTTGGTATCAAGAAGACAAAAAAGTGGGTTTAACCATGCAGATGACAGTAAAACGAAGAAAGCAGCAAACATTAGAGGCGACTTATGATGCTGCAATATTTCGTTTCTGGTCGATACTGGAAGTGAAGTAAATGTTTTACCACCAAAAGCGCACGATTTCATAAATGAAAACATGTTATCGTTTATTTCTGCTGCAAATGGATCTGAAATTTCAATTTTACGATGATAAACTTTTGCAACTTAACTTTGATCAGAGGACCTTTTTAAATGCAAGTTCATCATAGCAAATGCCAAATATCCGATCCTTGGAGCAGACTTTTTGACACATTTTGATTTATCAATTGATATGCATGATTCTAATATGCTTAGTTCATCTATGTCAATAATTGCCCCAATCAGAAGTGAAGTCAATGAAATGTTAAAAGGCCTTGACTGAAATTCGCACTAATTTGCGACACATTTTATGTGAATACCCAGAGCTTTCGAGGCAGAACAAGACACCTTTGCCAAAATTTGAACATAAAACTGTGCATTTCATCGAAACAAGTGGTTCTCCTGTATTTTCAAAACCTCGCAGATTATTAGCGGAGAAACATGAAATTGATGAAAAATAATTCAGTCGACTTCATGATTTATAAATTCTCAGACCATCATCAAGCAACTGGTTTTCTCCATTACATATATGGTTCCTAAGTCAAATGGAAGTTTGACACCCTGCGGAAATTAGAGGGCACTGAATAACATTACTATGCCAGCTAGATATGGCATTCCTTATATACATGATTTCAGTTTCCAGCTTCAAGGAAATAGGAAAATTGATTTGGTACGAGCATATCATCAAATTCCAATTAACCAAGCAGATATTTCTAATACAGCTATTTGTACTCTATTTGGATTGCTCGAATAAATAACTATATACCATTTGGACTAAGAAATGCCGCTGAAACATTTCAACGGTTCATGAATGAATTAACTCGTAACCTTCCGTTTTGCTTCACATATTTGGATGCCCGTGAAACAATTGATCAACATAAAAAAAAAATGCCCGTCTGTTCCTGAAACAACTTAACAAATATGGTATATTCAGTAATATTGAAAATATCAATTTGCTGTCTCAGAGATTGAATTCTTGGGTCACAAAATAACCTCAGAAGGAATTCATCCTCTAGAGAAGGAAATTAATGCCGTCAAAACTTTCGCTCGCCCTATGTCATTGAATTCGCTATTGGCGACATATAAATCTGAAGCAGATGAGAATATAGAATTATTGAGTGGTCAGAACATTTAGTTAATTCGCTTGAGGATATCAAATTTGCTCTGTGAAGTCAATTGATGTTACAGTTGGCCAAACAAAGTGCTGAAACTAACATCGTTGCTAATGCTTCCGACAACTGCGTTGGTGCTATCTTGCAACACATGGTTGGTGATGATTGGTGTCCCATCTCGTTTTTTTTTTTTTTCAAAAAACTCTCTCCCACAGAACAAAGGTAATCTAAAAATTCGTCATTTAGACTTCATTACGTCTTTCACTTCAGATATTCGGCATGTAGTGGGAAGAGACAATGTTTTCGAGGATGGAAATTAACCCGATAGATTTCCCATTACTTAACGATATAGACTTTGACAGTTTAGAGAAGCACAAACAGTAGACACAGAACTACCAAAACATTTGTCCTTTGACGACACATAATTAGTCTTTGAATTGGTTTTTCTTCCATTTTATAGCAAGTCTCTTGCATGTGACATAAGCTTGGGTGCACTAAGACCGTTCGTTCCGAAAGTTTTCCGGAAAGACATGTTTGCGGTACTTCATTCACTGACACATACAGGAATCAGAGCAACTCAACCTCTCATATTTTATGTTCGCGCTTTATTTGGCCCTTTGGGTACACAACTGTCAAAGCTGTCAGAAGAATAAAATTATAAGGCACACAAATCCAGATATTGGAACCTTCTGTTCTTCTTCCAACGTATTCGAAAATGTACATTTGGATATTATCGGTCCGTTGCCTTATTCGAAAGGAAACTCCTATATTCTCACATGTATCGACCGTTTCTCTCGTTGGCCAGAAGTTTTACCGATTAGCGATATCACTGGTGCTTCTATAGCCTAAACATTCATTGCTGGATGGATCTCAAGATTTGGCGTACCTTCTACTATACCAACTGATCGCGGATTTCAGTTTGAGTCAGCTCTATGAAAGGAGTTTCTGAAAACACTTGGCTCATATAAAATTTAAACAACAGCATCATCCCTCTCCAAAAGGCATTGTGGAACATTCCAATAAACAAATTAGGACTTCACTTAAGTGTCATTTGAGAAGCCAGTGGGTTGATATTCTTCCTTTTGTTTTACTTGGTATCCGTACATCTCTTCTCTTAAGGAGGAATTAGACTGCGTAGTTTCTGACTCGTCTATGGGAGAACTTTGAAACTTCTTGGAGAATTTTTTGAGGAAACAAAGAATCATGAGCCACTCCTGTTTGCTGAACCGTCCAAGTTCTCTTCCTGCGAGAAAGAATTACAGAAAGGGAATAGTTGTTCTTTAAAGTCCTTTCATTTTCCACACATGTTGTTGTTCGAAATGATGGTGTCAGAAAGTCCTTACAAGCAGCTTATGATGGACCATATTAAATTTTAAATGGCAGTAATACATATTAATTCACCATTGATATCAATGGAAAAGCTAATACTGTTTCTATTGAGAGACTCAAGCCAGCTTATCTCGAGTATTCTTTGTGGTGGTTAAACGCTCTTTACTGTTATTTTTTTTGTGTGTAAATGTGTTGAAGGGGGGGTAATGTAGCGATAGCAATACTGTACATACCTACTTCAATTAGGTAGTACCTTTTGATTTTTGGCCAGAGTAAAATCTGCGATTAACCAGGTATATATGTAGAGCAGAATTTTTTTTTGGATAGACTGGCTATGAAAGGTATTTGTTTCTTCTAGAAATCCAAATTTAGTGTTTATGAATAGTTTTACGCCATCCATTACAGTATTTTTTCTCTCTTTTGCACAAAAGTGAAAACAATAATAAAACAAAAATTAGCAAGTTCGTGCTAAACACAATCAGAAAAAAATCACCTGCTTATTAGAGTAAATAAATAACGATTATATTAATGATACATCGGCATGTGAAAGAAAGTGGTACCCAATAACCATTATAAAAACAAAACTGTGTGAATGAATATTAAAGGTTTTCACTGACATTGAGTGGAGTAATTTGTTTGTATTTGTAATAGTGGCTGCTGGCCATTAGGAATATGTAATGAAGATGACTGTTTATTTGTTATTGATATTTTAATTTTTTTTTCGTCCTCTGGTCCTCTAATACTTTTCTTGCTGATAAGTGGTTCAACAATATAACTGTCAGCACTTGAAGACAATACATTATATTCATATAAATATTGGTTGTATTTTTTCTGTTAGTCATTATTATTTTTGTAAAGGTTATGAATACTTACTCCTGGTTCAAGTGACAGCGCCATAGGCCCATATTGTAAGAGGAACAGCCATAGTAAACCTGCAAGAATAAAAATTGACCCATTATTATTAATTAGTTAAGTATCCAGCATATGTAGTAGACGGCTAATTAATTAGCTTTTATGTGAAAAAGTAACAATTAAGCTTCAGATTTTTAGTTCACCTCTAATACATTTACTAATTTAAGTTGCAAGTCATAAATTCCATTTTATTGCAGTAAGGTAATAGTCTATACCAGAAGTTTTCCGTAAATGTCTACTACCCACATAACAGACGCATTATTTACAATCTATATCTATAGGCACAGTTAATTCTGAGACTAAAACATACACTTTCGTTATTAATTAATTATACAGCGTTTATCAATTTCCTGCAATAAAACATTATTTTGATGGCATTCAAAAAAATCAAATGGTTATTGAATTATTTATTTATTGGCACATTCAATTAGCTGTTTCCATAAGGGACAATAAACGATTTGGGGCCGAGTGAGTATGAGGAGTTTTTTCCTAACTGAAAAATTTATTTAATATCTAAAACGTGATTTTCGTTTAAAACCATTTGCGATTAGTTGAAATTACTTGATATATGGGTTAGGTTTAGGTACTATTCATCCATAAAATTAATAAGTAGGTACCTAACTTTCAATTTACACCATTACATAAAATCAACGTTAGAGCACGATTATTAATGGACAGAACTGTAAACTACCAAAGATTACCATCATTTTTGTATTAAAATATCGAGCATAATAAATCGAATCATCTATAGATAATCTATGGGAAAAGTTATATTGGATTCTGTTAAACCGATGGGTGTAATCGTTTCAATATGGGTTGAATTTGTAATAACACTGATAGACAGCTGCTCTTTGTTTTTTTTGTTTTCACATTCACTAAAGTAGTCAAAGATATTGTAAAGTAGAACAAAAATTATTTTGGTTTTTGAGCAGAATCCCTCTATAAAGATGAGAAAATCAGAATTCTGGCATCTGCTATTTGAACCTCAAATAAGGACATATTATTATTATGAATGAATAAAAAATAAAAGTGCTCTTATATTATCCAGATGAAGATGATAATCAAGAAGATGACATTGATCAGTCCGCCGATAGACTACCTCAACTGGTAGCGCAACGACAATCTCCATAAAATTCAGAAAATCATCAAATACCTGAGAGCAACAAAAGGCAAGGAATTAGGAGGCTGTCCTACCAATAAATAACATCACCAACTCTGACAACTGAGTTTGAAGCTCTCACAATTCCAAAAGCATGCAAAACGAAGTGATTATGCTTACAAAAGCGAGGAAGGACAAAATATTTCTCCAGAACCAACGTCACATCATAAAGTTGTCAGAGAGAACTATCAAGTACCTAAAAGCTACAAGAGGAAACTGAAAAGCTTGTATTGATTCCTGACTAACAATGTGTCTTAAGAGCAGGTGACTCTAATGAGTTAGAAGTTGTCAAAATATTTGAGCACATCACCAATGGATTCGACTGGAGACGAGCCATTCTGTTGAACGTAGAACAAGCTCTCAACCGGAAATACACAAGATGATGAATGCCGGAAACCAAGCAAAAATGTGCAAGCTGTTCCAAAGCTACCTATCTGGCCGAACTTATTCAGTAAGGAAGAGCTAACAACGCTTGAGATTGACAAGACAGCTAGCAGGCGCAAAGAGTCGGTTCTAAAACTGTAACTACAATATTCCAAATACCGCAGACACAAAGATTGCCCTTTACGTAAACGTGCCATACTCAATATAGAACCACTAGAAGGAGATTAATGGTGCAATTGATGGAGGATCAAGATCAATGCACAGAAGATCCAAGCTGGGATTTGAAATAGCATCAATATAGATATTGAGAGGTCTATAAACCTAGCAGTCCCAAGTTGGAAAAAAACTTCGGGAATTATATAATAATTAGGTGCTTTTTAGGTGCTAATTAGGGCCTCTAATTAAAAATTAGGTGCTCCTTTAGTTTTTAAGAAAATCAAAAAAAAACTAAGGGACTGCTAGGTTTTTTTTTTTTTTTTTTTTTTACGGATATGCGCACTCGCAAGGAAATGTCCTATCACGCTCGAGAAGCGGCAAGTGCGCGGAAATGTCGGTGTATGTTGGTCTTGAAACGGTTCAGGTTGTAACCTGCAGGGAAAACCGTCGCAGGGAGTTTATTCCACAGCGATGCTGTTCTCCAGAGATATGAATTCTGATATAATGAGGTTCTTGGTGCCTCTAGTTTGACAGTAAATTCATGGTTACCGTCTGTTTGACGGGTTCGCCTGGTAGGTGCTACTCTCGGTGGAATCATACGTGCCAACTCTTCAGAGCATTTTCCGTGATAGTACCTGTAGAAGAGAGATAAATCGCCCACAGATCTGCGATGTTCGAGACCATCCAAGTTACGAGTAAGTGCGGGGTCATTGATCAGCTTGATAGCTCGTTTTTGCACGGTATTCAAAAGCATTAAGGTATGTTTGGGTGCTGCACTCCATATATGTGAGCAGTACTCCATAGTTGGTCGAATCTGGGCTTTGTAGAGTGTCAGCAATTGGCTTGGTGTGTACAGATGTCTTGTACGAAATAGCACCCCCAGCTTTTGGGAGGCCCTTTTAGCAATATCTGCCACGTGACTGTGCCAAGACATGTTGGTCTCTGCAGTAACCCCCAAGATGTTCAACTGACTCTGTAATGTGACAGCACTTCCAGATAGCATGATGTTTGGCTCACCGGTGCTGGTCTTTTTTGAAAACAGAGCTGCTTGGGTTTTCTGCGCGTTGAACTGTACAAGGTTTTTGTTACCCCAGTCCTCTATTATCTCCAGGTCGTTATTTATCTGCGATATTTGAGTTAGTCTAAGATGATGGAATTCACGTGCGGAAAGACCTGTGGGTGGTATGAGTGAGGAGACTACATTGCCATCGTCTGCAAAGCAATAAAGTGGATTTACTGTTTTATCTATGAGGTCATTTATGTAAATCAGGAAAAGAGTTGGCGAAAGGATTGCTCCCTGTGGCACACCAGCATTTATTTGGTAAGAGTTGGAGTTCTGGCCATCCAGTGCAACATAAATGGATCTGTCCTTTAGGTAACTTTCAAACCAAGTGCAAAGTTTCGGCGATAATCCCATTGCTTTGAGCTTGTTGAGCAGATTTTCATGCCAAACTTTGTCGAATGCTTTAGATATATCTAAGGCAATTGTTCTTGTTTCACCCCGCAACTCAATCGCTTTTTGCCATAAGTGAGTGACGTATGTAAGTAAATCGCCAGTTGACCTATATTTTCGAAATCCGTATTGCTTATCGTTGATAATTTTGTACTTTTCCAAGTACTTGGTTAGGTGATTGTTCACAACTCTTTCCATTACTTTTGATATCACCGGAAGTAGAGCAATTGGTCTATAGTTTAACGGATCTGTCTTTTTTCCTTTCTTTGGAATGGGTTGTACTGCGGCAGACTTCCATGATGATGGATATACTCCTTGCCTGTAAGACAAATTGAATAATTTAGCGAAAGTTGGGGTGAGTTCGTTGGCGCAATTTTTGAGTACTATTGCGGGAATGCCATCCGGACCCATTGCTTTGTTTGTATCCAGCTTTTTTAGGGATTTTCGTATTTCTCTGTGACAAAAGTGTACCTCTGGCATACTATGGGAAACCCTTTCAATGAACGGTGGAGTTTTTCCGTTTGGCACTGTTAGGTTGGAGTTGGAGGAAAACATTTGGGCAAGCATATTGGCTTTTTCCTCTGATGTTGTGGCTAAGTGATTATTTTTATCTGTAAGTGGTGGTATGGATGACTTGGTGAAGTTAGATCCAACAGCTTTTGCAAGAGACCAAAAAGACCTAGAACTACTTGGACAATTCAGCAACCTGTTTTTTATTCTTTGATTGTATGTTTCTTTAGCGGAGTCAATAGTAATTTTGCAACTATTTCTGGCTTCTATAAATTCTGTGTGGTTTTGAGCGGTTTATAAAAGCTAGCAGTCCCCTATAGTAAACAATATTTTTTCAATTTTTTTTTTGTATCAGAATTAGGTGCTTTTTAGGTGCTCCAAAATAGTCCAAGAAAAAATAGAATTGATTAATTATTAACTGAGTTACAGATTTTTTTTTAATTATTAGGGGACTGCTGGCTTTACGTCTACTTGTTGGTGTGTCAGAATGGCAAAAAAACTTCGGGATCTATATAATATATAATAATATTATTAGGTGCTAATTAGGGCCTCTAATTAAAAATTAGGTGCTCCTCTAGTTTTTGAGAAAATTAAAAAAAACTAAGGGATTGCTAGGTTTATGAAAGCTAGTAGTCCCCTATAGTGAAAAATTTTTTTCCAAAATTTTCTTTTGTATCAGAACTAGGTGCTTTTTAGGTGCTCCTAAATAGTCGAAGAAAAAATCGAATTGATTAATTATTAACTGAGTTACAGATTTTTTTTTAATTATAAGGGCACTACTAGCTTTCATAAACCTAGCAAGCCCTTAGTTTTTTTTGATTTTCTCAAAAACTAGAGGAGCACCTAATTTTTGATTAGAAGCCCTAATTAGCACCTAAAAAGCACCTAATTATTATATAGATCCCGAAGTTGTTTTGCCATTCTGACACACCAACAAGTAGACGTAAAGCAAGCAGTCCCCTAATAATTAAAAAAAAATCTGTAACTCAGTTAATAATTAATCAATTTATCTATTTTTTCTTGGACTATTTAGGAGCACCTAAAAAGCACCTAATTCTCATACAAAGAAAAAATTTGAAAAAATATTTTTTACTATAGGGGACCGCTAGCTTTTATAAACCCAGCAATCCCTTAGTTTTTTTTTGATTTTCTCGCAAACTAAAGGAGCACCTAATTTTTAATTAGAGGCCTTAATTAGCACCTAAAAAGCACCTAATTACTATATAGTTCCCGAAGTTTTTTTCCACCTTGGGACTGCTAGGTTTATAGACCTGATATTGAGGGGTAGTATAAACCATGAAGCAAGTACTGTGCTAAATTACTGGGAAGACTCATATTGAAGAAGCACGGATCAAACC